CAGGGGCCATGCTAAATTGCTACTTAGTAATTCGTAGTTAAAATCTTTTCTTTGCATCCTTCCAATTTTACTGCGTTGGCCTTAAGGAGCCGAAAAAATGAAAAAGAAAAAGGAGGACGGGATTCCATGAATCAATCTTGACAACTGCACCCCCTAGGGACTTGGCTTCCTTCTTCTTCTTCTTCTTCTTCTTCTTCTTCTTCTTCTTTTCGTTGTATTTGAACACGTCTTCTTCTTCTTTTCGTTGTATTTGAACACGTCTTCTTCTTCTTCTTTTTGGGGATAGAAAAGAGCGGTGACGGCATGGACGGATGATCGGATGATCATTGGACTGATCAGCTCTAAGCAATTCATAATTATTTAAATTTATTTTGCTCATCTGATACCATCGTCGGGAATTGAACTTGGGTCCGCCAATCACCAGTTAGTAAATGGGTGTACCATTCAGCCACATGTACTGGGTAGCTTCTTTTTTTTTTTTTTTTTTTTGGGGGGGGGGGGGGGGGGGTGGATGGTTGGGTTCCGTGTTTGATCACACCTATGTAGCACACCGAACATGTTCGGAGCTTTTCCAAACGTCTGAACATGTTCGGGTGTTCGGCCGAATGCCACCCGAACGTGTTCGGCCGAACATATTCCAAAAAAAAAAACTTTTTTTTTTTTTTTTTTTTTGTTTGTTTGTTTGTTTTTGATTTTTAACTCGAGTTTGGTTACGAATTTGAGCATACCTCCAAGGCAAAAGTTGTTTGTATTATTATTGTACATAACATATATTTTTTTCAGATTTTTTGGAGAACTCTTTTTTTTTTTATTTAATATTTTTATGTTCGTGTTCGGAGAGTTTCGGCGCTCGTTCGTGTTCTGTCCCGAACGTTCGGGTTCGGTCACCGAACCCGAACACAATGCTACACAGCATCACACATGTACTGGGCGGCTGTTTTTTTTTTTTTGGGGGGGTGGGGGGTGGGGTGCGCGGGAATGGTTGGGTTTCGTGTTTCATCATGCAAAGAGCAAAATTCGCAGAATTCACAGAAACATCCACCCAAAACAGAAAAAAAAGGTAAAAACGTTAGTAAAAAACAAAAAAACGAAATAAATAAAAGCACATGATAAAACGATGAACATCATCCCAATGTCTCAAGCAAAGCAATTTCACAAACGGGCCCTATAAAGCCAAGCAATTTCGAGGATGAACTTATCAATAGAAGGGGGATTGCTTTCTACCCATGTGCCCTTAACTATACACACCCTCATCAGACATGCTACTCAGTGGGCAGCAAAGGCAACCATGCAATTCATTTTGCATGTGCAAAGGGATATGCCGGACCCGCTTTCCGGCAGGTGCAGCGCCCAATAAATGGAGCCTTCACACAGGGGGCGCATTTGAGGAAGATGCTCTTACCACTCCCTCAAGTGCTCCCCCAATCGAAGGTCAGAAAAAAAAAAAAAAAAAAAAAAAAAAAAAAAAAAAAATTTTTAAAAAAAAAAAAAAAAAAAAAAACTTTTTTTTTTTTTTTTTTTTTTTTTTGCGTTCATTCATTCTGGACAATTCGTGTGTTTTCTGTTGAAAGAGAAGAAAACTTCTGTTTGCGATCAACAGAAAGCCCGTCTGCAGAGAAGGTTGGCACCCTGTACTGTTAGAGAGCCAGTTTGGGGGGCCCTCTTGAGGGCACCTGCCAATGTGCAGACGGGCTCTTAGGGGGGGTAGGGCTTTTGGGGGCGCATAATTGTGATGAGCAAACAGACGTTTAGAGGGGGTCCTAAGGGCGCCTGCCAATGAGCAAATGGACTTTTAGTGGGTTAGGGTTCTTAAGGGCCTGCTAATGATCAAACTGGATTGTAGGGGGGTTAGGGATTGTAACGGCCTGCTAGTAGGTGAACGGACGGAATTTTAGTAGGGGTCTTAAGGGTCCGCCAATTAGCAAACGGAGTTATAAGGAGATAACTCAGCTAAGAGGGGGTTTTAGGCGCCTGCTAATGAGCAATCAGAGACTCTAGTCTTGGGCGATTTACAGGGGCCTGACAATGAGCGCACAAACTTTTAGGGGTTCTAGGGGCCTCCCAACGAGCAGAGCAAATGGACTTTTAGGGGTTTTAGGGTTTAAGGGTTTTGGGGCCTTGCCGAGCAGCATACGAGTGAAGCATATGTTTGACAAAAAGAGGTCGTTCGATCTTTGCTTCGCTGGCTCCTCCCATAACACTATATGTTTGATAAAAAGAGGTCGTTTGATCTTTGCTTCGCTGGCTGCTCCCATCACACTATTGTTCGAAGACAACAGTTCAGCGTGCTAATCCATGCCTACTTAAACAAAGGAACAACCTCTCAATCTGTAGGGTGCGGGGGGATCTCAATTCATACCACTGTTATAAACATGATTGTTTGTCGAAATTTTATCAACGCTCACTCACAGGAACTCCCGTACACGCCCATACATGCACAGAAGGAAGGGGAGAGGTAGTGGAGTGTCACACCGCCCAACAAAAGGAACGCAGCGGAAGACTCAGAGGAGCAAAGTGACAGAATACACAACCCAGTGGATTCTCTCCACACAAATCCCAACAATCATTCATAGAAGACAACCGAGTGATCACAGCCAGAAATCAATAAATAGATGACAACTCAAACACAATATCACAACTGTTTATTAAACTCAGAGCATCGTTTTCCCTGAATAACCTCAAATCCCTGTTGCGCCACCCTCAGAGGGATAGGCGTGCGGAGCGTCGAAGGGGTTCTCCCCTTTGCGCAGCCTCGTATTTGAGGATAACAGACTTTGCTGTTTTCAGAAGCTCCTTGCGAGTAAACCAGCGATCCTCAGTTTGGGGCTGGTAAAGAAACTTCACAAGGTACTCCTTATCCGGGCGTGTACCATACTCATCCTCAACTTTTTCCACCTCATATCCCTTCCCAGGGATCGGGGGACCAAATTGAGGAGGCCTGTCCGGAAATGCATCAGTTGGGACAAACGGCAACAAAAACCTGCCATGGACCCATGTAACGCGGCAACAGCTTGGGGGAAATGTCCTCCTCCCGCGATAACTCAGAACTGAGTACCCAGACCCAGTCACCAGCGCGGATGGGGGATGGTCGACGATGTTTGTTAGCCTGCTGAATCATAGCCTTTTAGGCTTTGAGCAGGTTAACTCTGGCTCGTTCGATATCCCTCTCGTACTGTCTGGTGAACAGTGCAGTCCTAGGAGTCAATCTGGGGGTAGCCTTATCGATGATGTGATCGAGAGGCTGCCATGGCTCACGTCCCCAGTGCAACTGATAAGGGGTGAACCCTGTGGAGAAGTGTACAGACGTGTTGTACACTAGCTGTGCCCGTCCTAGATGGAGATCCCAATCCTGCTGATCAAGGCTGATCACAGGACGCAGCAACTGGAAGAGAATCTAGTTCATCACTTCCGCCTGCCCATTGGCTTCAGGATGACGACCAAATGTCATATCCAGTCTGGAATGAAGGTAGTCCTTGCAATAGGACTGCCATTCATTACTGCAGAACTGTGGATCTCTGTCACTGACAATAGAGGTGGGTGGTCCATGGTGAGTAACCCACCTGTCAGCAAAGGCCGCCTGCACGACCGGGACTCTGGCTTCCTCTGGCAAAGGAATAAACTCTGCGTACTTGGAGAACCTATCCACACACACCATGACCTGACGCATACTGCGAGGAGTGGTCCTCCCTAGGTCAGTGAAATCAATAGCCAATGACTGTGCTGGTGCATCAGGGATGGGAAGTGGCTGCAGTAGGCCAAGGGGAGGTCGGCGAACGACCTTATTCCTTTGGCACAACTCACAGGTCTCAACATAGTGCAGCAGATCTTTCCTCATCTCTGGCTAGAAGAACCGCTGCGACAGGGCTGCCAACGATTTTAAGGCCCCAAAGTGGCCGCGAGCAGCATGACACTCAAACATAATGAGTGTTCTCAGCTAGTGGTCCGGAGGGATGCACAAACGTTCCTCTCCTCTGCTGCACGTATACAGCAGATCTGAAACCAGAATGTACCCTGGTTCAGAGGCAGGATCAGTCTGCAGATTCCTGACAATCGGGCCAAAAATCGGGTCCTGTGGCAACAACTGGGCGGATGATCTGACGAGTGCTCTCCCCAAAAGTACGAGTAGAGGAGATCAGGCAGAGAGCGTCAGGCAAGGGCGTTTGCTACACGATTGTAGCAGCCCTTCTTGTGCTTCAGTTCAAAGTCGAAGAGATCAATGAACTGAATGTAGCGTGCAAGCTTGTCATTCAGTTCCCCTTGGGTCTTCATGCACTGTAAGGTGGAGTGATCTGACTAGATCTGGAAGTGCTTGCCCATGAGGAAATGCTTCCAATTCGTGAGCGCTGACACTAGAGCATATAGCTCTTTCTCGTACGTGGAATCCTGCAACTTCTTTACTTTGATCTTCTTACTCGTGTACTCAACCGGCTGCAGACCATGCCCACCATCCTGCTGAAGTACCGCCCCAACCCCATACTGGCGAGCATCAGTAGTTAGTACGAAGGGCAGGGTAGGGTCAGGTAGCTTCAGAACAGGTGCACGCATCAAGGCCTCCTTGAGGCGTGTGAAAGCCTGCTGACAGTCTGATGTCCAAAGAAAGTGGGTGTCTTTCTTTGTAAGGTCAGTCAAGGGTGTAACAATAGCATAAAAGTTCTTAACGAACTTCCTGTAGTATGATGCAAGGCCCAAGAATGACCGAACATCACACACTGTGGTAGGCTGTGGCCAGTCCTGAATCGCAACAACCTTAGTTGCTTCAGGAGCCAGCCCTTCCCCAGAGATTACATGTCCCAGATAAGTCTCAGAATTCACTCCAAAGGAGGACTCTTCTCTGTTGATCTTATACTGGACCTCATGTAGTGCCTGGAAAACCAGAGCCAGATGCTGCGCATGCTCCTCGACAGATCGACTGAATACCAGGATATCATCCAAGTATACAACTACAAACCTGTCCAGGTAAGGCCTGAGTATGCGATGCATCTCTGTCTGGAATGTGCCAGGGGCATTGCAAAGACCGAAAGGCATGACCAGGAACTCATAAGTGCCGTATCTGGTCTTGAAGGCAGTCTTGTGGACATCGCCTTCAACCATCTCAATCTGGTGGTAGCCAAATTTGAGATCGATCTTGCTGAGAATTGTGCAGCCCTGCACCATGTCCAACAGATCATCAATCCTAGGAAGGGGCTCTGTAGACTTCCTAGTGATCTTATTGAGACCCATGTAATCGACGCACATCCTGAATTTTCCATTTCCCTTTGGAAGCCCCAAATTCAGATGTGGTGGGTCTGATCCAGCCCTTGCTGGTACGGGTTTCAAGCTGTCTTCTGAGCTCATCGAGTTCAGCAGGTGACATCCTATAGATACGGCCCTTGGGAGGGACCGCACCTGGCAGTAGCTCAATCCTATGCTGGGTCTGCCCATGGACAAGTCCAGTAGGCTCCTGCATCACGTCTGGATACCGGTCCAAAACCTGCTGAATCGGTGAGGGACAAGGAGCAACATCCACACCAGTCTGTTTCACATATGCGACAAACAGACGTGTGTGGGCAGTCTGGCGAGAGAGCTGAAAGAACTCGTGTGCCCTCATACAATAGCAACTGCTGACTGGATGGTACTCATCAACCAGCACACAAGGCTGATAGTCCCCTCTACAGTCAGGGAGCTCTACCTTGGGGATCTGTCAGTCGATCCTAGGGTTAGTGGCCTCTAGACACAGCATGGAGAACACAAGATCAAAAGGCACATTAGGGAACACATAGAAGTTCAGACGCCGCCTGACCTTCTCCTGCTTGTCAAAAATAACCGGTAGGTTTTTAACAGCAGAGGTAATCCGGACTGTGGAGGAGTCCCCAATATGGACTTCCAGCGGCTGCTGTAACTTCACCAATCTCCCATCCAAGTGCAGCTTGCTGACAGCCTTGGGAGAGATGAAGTTCTGCGTAGCCCCACAGTCTAAGAGGCCTTTGATCATGGCTCCCAGGATGGAGGGTCGCAGCAAGATGAGGTCGGGTTTATGCTTTTTCTTTACCTCAAAGACAGGAAAAGATCAGCAAAAGTCTGACTGTCATCTTTCTGCCACGTCTCATCCATGTCAGGGTCCACGTAAGTGAAGGATCCTGACTCAGCAACTCCAACAGAGTCAGTGAGGGTAGATGCAGATTCAGACTCGTCAGAATCTGAATTAGCACAAGTGGAGGGAACTGCTAACTCCACTTCCCTCTGCTGGTCTAGTTTTTTGAACTAGAACCAGGTTTGCGAGGCATATGGGGACAATCCTTCAGGAAGTGGTCCCCCTCGCAGCGAAAACAAACCTCACGCTCCTTCCATTTTTGCCATTGCCCTTCCTGGATCCTGAGCGCTCTCTAGGGAAGGGTGGAAGGATCCATGACGTTGACTGCCCAATGGACGTCTCGTGGTAGGTTAGCTCTCTGGGCCTGAGGGGAAGAGGACACGTCCCTTCCCTTCCCCTTCTGGTTGGCTGAGCCCTTGCTGCTGCTGCTGCCCATCTTTCCTTTGAACATGGCAGCAAGGTTCTCAGCCAGGGCAAGAATGGATGGCTCAACTGCTGATACTGATGCAGTCTCAGATGGAGGACTGCCACGCTGAGATGCATCAGAATCAGAACCTGCATCAGCAGCTAATAGAGCACCCTTCTTCCTGCGCTGTCCCCTGGAAGAGGGTCTCCCCCTTCCTTCAGAAGGTTCCTGAACCTTGAGCCGAGAGTCCAGGTCTAGGGCCGCTTTGCCAAAGGACCTCCAGTCCTTGTGGCCCTGAGAATACAAAACAATGGAGTAGTCTGGAGGCGCTATGCGAAGGAAATGGGTGAGCTGGTCAAGCTCTCAAACAGGCTATAGAGCTTGGACAGGGAACCCTCAAATCTGCGTGAGCCCAGCAACAGTATCTTATCTACTGCTTTTCGGGCCTGTTCCCTGTTTGCAAACCGGTCCCGCAGGGCCTGCAACAACCCCTCCACTTTCAGCTGCTGTGCCCATTTGTCCATGGGCAAATTCTGTTTCGCTGCAGAGGATGTGCACCATTTTAGTGCAGTCCTCTCTAGGCGACCCAGAATAGTCCCTACCTTTGTCACCTCTGGACATACAAAGCTGCCCATGTATGCCTGCATAGCAGAAACGTCCACCTTGGGGTCTTCCCCATAATACATAGGAGGTGGCGTCAGCCTGGGCTGCTGCTGATCAGATGTACCAGAGGCGGTAGGGGTAGTGGACACATGGGAACCAGTAGGTGAAGGTGGACGACTGTGAGATGGTGTAGAGGGCGCCGGGGAAGGTTGAGGAGTTTTGGGAGGAGGGACAGGTAGCTGTAGATGCTGCAAAATGCTGTTCACACTCGCAGTCCGGGACTCGAGGCTTGCTGCCAATTTATCAACCTTAAGGTCGATGGCAGAACCTTGGGTCTCGAGCGCGAGTATCCTCTGGTCCCAGTTAGAAAAGTAGGATCTGTTGATGGTGTCTGTTAACAGCACCAGCTTTGCAGTATCCTTACTGTACTGACTGAAGGTACCACTGAGGACAACCTTCTCCACATCCTTGCGTAGCTGTCTTCTTCTCTCTTCATTCCTACTAGCCTCCTGAGCTTCCTCCATCTCCTTCTTCAACCGTTGGATCTGGGCCTCTGCCTTGAGGCAAGCTTGCTCGGCCTCAAGCAGAGCCTGCTCCAGAGGAGAGAGAGGAACCTGGGAGAGTTAGCAGAAGTTTCTCCTCCCTCAATCTTTGTCTCAGCGTCAAACATAATGAACCACTCAAACAGTCAGATAAGTATAAACAGGCAAATACAAGGTCAGCAGAGATTAAGATTGCACACTCAAACACTGATGTAATCACTGCCACCTGATGAGAAGAGACGTGGTGAAATAGGCAGAAGAGCGCTCAACCTTTGTAGGCCGCTGACGACTTTTCTGGGTTAGTTTAGGGTAAATCCAGATAAAATCAGCTTGCGATTTTTCATTCACAGCCTAGAACCCTCATCTGAGTGCAATAACCCCAGAATCGTTGTCAGATAGTTAGACAAGATGCAACCTTGGACTATCAGTAGAAAGGTTAGAATAGTGCAGAGAGTCAGTAGCAATTAACAGACCCCAGTAATCAACCAAGATGTAGTGGATGACTGATCAAGCTATTTTTAGACTCCTACTACTGACACTGGCACTGTTGGACCCTGTATGCCCCACTATGGGTGAGGCGAAGTACAAATATCACTGTATCTGACTCAAACATCAAATCCAGTATAGCGCTTTCAAACACTGACTCAATATTGAATTGCGATTTCAGGGGAACTGACATACTGAAATTCTGACGGATAGAACCTAAGATATGACCAACCGTAGCTGCCCTAAGCACTGGCTATGGCAGCGCAGCATTCAGAATTTCATTTTCATTGACATACAGACCCTAAACTACTCAATTCACTGGGTGTACTGAATCGCAATACTGTAATACAGTCAGGGATGCAATTTGAGACAGAGAGGAGGTCAAACAGAGTCGGTAGAAGTCAAAGTAGATAGGTAGGGGAAATAGCTATGGCTGTCAAGCAGTGCGATTTCCAGTTTCATTGTCTACAGACATACAATTTCAGTTTTCCCCGTCTAATCACAACTATCAGACTCGCTACAGGGACTTGAGTAAGGAACACACTTACTTCAGGGCAAAACACTGGAAGAAGAAGCTGAACTGGCTATGGCTGCCATCGCGCCAGTTTCTTCAATTCACTGTTCCTGGTGCTCCCACGTTCAAAATCCCTTGAAACTTGGCAATACTGTAGTTCTTGATATGGCGATTAATCCCCATTAGTCAGATTCACTATATCTCGCCCAAAATCTGAAACTCGACATACCCCCAGGTATCTCACCAACAGCGGAGTCAATGCCTGGGCTAAAAATAGCCCCTCAGTGTCTCCCAGGCCACTGAGCACTGAATCGCCACCAATCTCTGCGTCATACCAACCGCCACACACTCCTCACCAACACCCTACTGAGCGCCGTACTGAAGATGTGATTCCACCATGAAATCCAACGTCAGAAGCTCTCAGGTAGTGATGGCTGCCTCAGTCCATCATCTCGGCACTGTCTGGGTCCGATCTGCTCCGATACCAACTGTTATGAACATGATTGTCCGTCGAAATTTTATCAATGCTCACTCACAGGAACTCTCGTACACGCCCATACATGCACGGAAGGAAGGGTAGAGGTAGTGGAGTGTTACACTGCCCAACAAAAGGAACGCAGTGGAAGACTCAGAGGAGTGAAGTGACAGAATACACAACCCAGTGAATTCTCTCCACACAAATCCCAACAATCATTCATAGAAGACAACCGAGTGATCACAACCAGAAATCAATGAAGAGATGACAACTCAAACATAGTATTACAAATGTTTATTAAACTCAGAGCATCGTTTTCCCTGAATAACCTCATATCCCTGTTGCGCCACCCTCAGAGGGATAGCGCCTCAACCGCACCACCCGGAACAGCTAAAAATAGCACCGAAACCCCAGGTAACACCGAACGCCACCCTGACATCCAACTCAGTGGCCTGCGCCAAGATGAAATAGGCTCCCAGAGCCAATCGCCGCCCAGATGATGAAGAAGAAGCTCAGTTGCAAGAGTCCCTGATGAAGATGAAGTCGAGACGATGATATCTGTGAGAGGATGTAGCTATGGCTGCATTGCCATTGGGACCCTACTCCTGAGGAGGGTCAGCAGTGCACCACGTGCTCCAACGCATCAGACCTCTGATAGCCCAGACCGCCTTGACTCCCAGAGAGTCAGGGCGGACAGCGTTGACCCCAGTCTGGTCAACGCTCCGTAGGTCTGGCTATGTCTGCCGTTTCCACCACCGGAATCAGCCACTGCGACCTGATACCGTGTGCGCAGCAACTTCCACCACGAAGTGTCAACTGCCAAAAGCCCAGGACCGATGTCCCCATCCTATCTATACCCTAGACTAGCCTAGACACGACCTAGACCGGACTGACTGACCGACCGGTAACGTTTCTGTTTCGGCCCCTAGGGCCTCTCCCTACCCGGCTACAGGCTATAGGGCCGTCTATCAGCATAGGCCTATTGGGCCTGTCTGTCCTAGGGGTAGTCCGGGTCTGCTATTCGCAGTTAGGGTAGCTGTAGGAAATTCGAGTTAGTACCGGGCCCATATTTCCCATTGGGCCTCTCCCTAC